CATGTTCAATCTCAACCGTTGATTTCGACCATCATTCAACGACTTCCATGGCCTGCCTTTTCGCCTTCGTCCACTTTTTATCTTAGTTGTCTATTCTAGTCACGATCTAATGGTCTTGCTCGAACCGCCTTTCCAACTCACCCGCTAGATCCTGACCGTTGATATAGATCACGATGCAACGGTCAGGGGCTCACATGCCTTTCCACCTATTAATAACCCTAAGACCAAATTTTTTTGGTTTTTCACCTTTGCAAAATCTTCCTTAGCAATATTTGTGCCCTCTCTCTCCTTCTGTAATCAGACTCCCAGAATCTGTCACATTTCACTGAAATATAACAAATATGCACTATGGTGAATTAAAATATGCGTTTCGTATGAACAAAATATGCGTAATGAATTAATTAAATATGCATTATGCATATATTCAATTTTAATATAACAAATATGCACTATGGATGAACAAAATATGCATTTCATACTCATTATGCATATATGCAATTTTACTGTAACAAATATGCACTATGGATGAACTAAATATGCATTTCGTATTCATTATGCATAATGAATTAATTAAATACTAGTAATCAACCTGTGTTGTTTGTAGATTAGATAAATTATAGGGATCAAATTTCAATGTCAAAAACTTATAACTTATTGCAATTAGATCTTTGAGTTCAATCTGTAATTTATTTATAGCTTGAATAATTACAATATGAGCCTTGTGTTTTTATATTATTTAGTTAATGCACATTTAATTTATTTCTTGTGCATATTTAGATAACACACAAGACATGTTTTAGTTATAAATCACACATACTTAATTCAGAATAAGAAATGCATATTTAATTCATTCATTGTGCATATTTAGGTAATAAGAAATGCATATTTAGTTCATGTGAAGTCCAAATTATAACCATTTCTTTGTGTACATCAATGGACTATATTAATAAATTGAAATTTATATTAATTATTATATTTAAATTAATTATATAAAATGCACATTTAGTTACATATTTTTGTTGCATATTTAGTTCACGCAAAATGCGCATTTAATTCATACGTTGCGCATATTTAGTTCATAAACAGTGCATACTTAGGTGATATTATTGATGAATATTTATTATATAATTAATCTGATATAATATTTTTTATTTTTAATTATATAATTAATGTACTACATAATGCATATTCATTCATTATGTATATCTATGTAATAAGAAACACATATTTAGTTCATCATATTGCATATTTATTATATTTAAATCAAATATATACATAATGCATATTGATGTAAGGAAGCGTACGAGTGGGAAAGATAAACGAGATACTCTCTCGTAAAACTCACAAAACTCGACAATATCTTATTTCATTTCAATTATCAACTGAATAACACAAAAGAGGAGGAGTCCTTTATATAAGGCTCCTAAAACCCTAATACTAACTTGTCCAAGTCGCAACCGCCCCGGCCGGCCAAGTCGCGGTTCGTTTGTTTGTCCCGAACCATCGTACGGATAGTTAGACGTATGTCCCCGATCTCCGCGGACAGATCTGCAATCTGACGACCCATCGTTTCGAGGTGGCGGCCAAACCACTCGGTCCGACGGCTCAGGTTGTAGATGGCGGCAACACGCCTGTCGTTTGCAGTATCTTGTCTTCGCAACAGCATCGAGAATCGTGCTGACTTCTGATACCAACTGATGTAGGGAAGCGTACGAGTGGGTAGGATAAACGAGATACTCTCTCGTAAAACTTACAAAACTCAACAATATCTTATTTCATTTCAGTTATCAACTGAATAACACAAAAGATGAGGAGTCCTTTATACAAGGCTCCTAAAACCCTAATACTAACTTGTCCAACAAGACAAAAATCCTAACAATACTAACTTGTCTAACAAGACAAGAATCCCACTAATAATAATAATAATAATAATAATAATAATAATAATAATAATAATAATAATAATCGTAAAGAGGGAAACAAATAATTAGATTGAAGATTCTAAACATCCCTATCTCCATCACATATTTAGTTCATTCATTATGCATATTTAGTTCATACGAAATGCATATATAGTTAATCCATAGAGCATATTTACTATATTTAAGTTAGATATATGCATAATGCATTAATTCATTCATTATGCATATGTAGTTAATACGAAATGCATATTTAGTTCATTCATATTACATATTTATTATATTTATATTAATTGTATACATAATGCATATTTAGTTCATACGAAATGCATATTTAGTTCATCCATACTGCATATTTGTTATATTAAAATTGAATATATGCATAATGCATCTATATATATATATATATATAGAAAGAGGAACAACATAACATTTAATTATATTATCATGCATTAAATTTTATTATCCCTCCAAAATTTTCAACATTCAATTTCATTTTTAAGTTATAAAATAACTGGCTTGAATGCCATAAATTATGAGCATAAACCAATCAAGGGAGTTACAAAATTGTACTCAAATTTTAAGTCACACCCACTCATGGAAATGGCCAGATGTATTAGCATAAAGAAAATGGTTGTAACGGCTCTTCCATAGCAATTACTTGATCAAATCAATTTTGAGAATTATTTTCTTAATTCATATTTTTTTCATGAATTAAGTTATGATTTATTTTTGTTTTTATTTTTTATATTGTTATCTTTTTAAAGTATTCTTCTCTGTGCAAATAAGAAGCCAAAAGAATCCAAAATTAGAAATCTGATTTTTCAAAACACGGCCGCCTTTTGCAGAGACTTATACCTTGCGGTGGACTCCGGCGGCCGCCTTTTTCTCCATCGAGGTCTAAAAAACGCCGTTGTTTCGTGTCTGCTACATCGTCCTGATGTCACGTCTCGGCGTCTGCAAAAATTGGACCTCGTCCAGCCATCGACAATCCGTCGTGTCCACCTGCTCTGTTCGTTCAATCAGTCGACCAACAACCGAACATCGATGTCTATTGAGCATCCTCGCGCCGGAATGAAGTCCTAGACTTCCAAATCTGATTTTTGCATTGTCGGCCGGAAAATGAGATTTCCAATTCGCCAGCCGGAGAAGACGAGCGCCGGTCGGTATATATAAATATATATATATATATATATATATTGATTATGTAATAAAATAGTAAATATAAAATTAATTTTAAATGACAATTATTTATTCTTTACAAGGTTTTCCACGTTTTCTTCACCTTATAAATTTCATGAAAAAATTAATTAGAAATTAGTATTAGTAAACTTGTTACATATTTTCTCTTACTTTTTAATTTATTTTATTTTATTTTCTTTTCTTGCTTGAATATACAAAATGTTATTTTATGATGTACAATTCAACTATGTTAGAAATAGTAAAAACAAATAAGTGAACTGAACTCATTTTTCAGATAAGTTAGATAAAAACTAATGCAACGGATTGTCTACTTGGTAAAGTGAATTCAACTAATGCACGATTGTCTACTTGATAAAAACTTCAGGGTTGAATGAAAATTTCGAGGGAACACTAGAAGCGTGACTATGTTATATGGCATAGTGATAAAAAGCCTCTATACATAGGCTAAGTAGAAGAAAATATCTCTTTTAGAGTTAGAAAATTTCTCAATTAAAGTTTTACATATTTCACAAATCATCCTTTCAACAGCGGTGCAATTTATAGCATAAAATAACACGTCATAACTGTAAATTAAATTAATAAGTCAAGTGGTTTTGTTTTATTAGTTTTAGTGTATTATACTT